ATCAGATTGTTAGAGTTCTCTATAGTTGCTTCACCAAACACAAGCACATCATCAGCGTAAAGAAGATGCGTAAGGGGGTACCCATCCAATAAGATCCCTTTGAAGCCATCATCATCTAATAAAGAAGAGAAGGCATCAATAACCAAACAAAAGAGGTAAGGGCTTAGGAGACATCCTTGTCTTAAGCCATCAGTGGAAGAAAAATACTAAGGTCAGGATTCTAGGAGGATCCTAGAGTTTGAATTGATTTGGAAATTGAATTGGTTTAGGGTCAAGATTGGTCCAAGTGACCTCATACAAAAATGAGGTCAATAGGGCTTCATAAATGCAATTCCCTGGTTTCTAAGCCTTGTTCTTTTTTTTGGAGAAAATTTGGGCTTAGTTCGTATATTGATAAAAACTGAAGATTACAAGTAAATGTAAAAACAAAACAACACCAAAAAAGAAGATAGCCATGAAGAGAACCAAAAACCTGCTCAAGAATAGAACAAGCATAAAAAAAACCACAAAAAAATAGGGGATAAAAAAACTAAAAAAAACCAAAGCTCCCACAGGCAAAAAAGCCCGGACTCATGAAAATATAACCAGCAAATCAAAGACGAACTCAATCTCCTGGTTGCCCAAAGACCATCCAAGGGGGTCTACTAGAGAAGCCACATCATTGTTCAAAGCTTAGGACAAAAGAACCAGCAGGCAAATTTGAAGAAACACTTAACCTAATCATACTTTCTTGAAGAATTTGATGACTATTTTAGGTAAGGTAGCACCACGAATTCAATAAGCAATAAAGTTCAAAATGGTGTATTTCAGAAATCGCAGGCGGCCTGCTAAAAATAAAAGATTTGCTTTCTAACTATACAACTTTTTTGATATGCTTTCCATGAGAGGCAGGCATAAAATCTACCACTTTCTATTGAAGGACAAAGGTATGCCTATATAAGTAATCTTAGGGTTAACAATGGGTATTGATAGCACTTGATAAATAATATCACAATTAAACAGATTTATGGGGAACATAATAGAGCTTTTATCTAAATTAACATGTAGGCCAGAGGCATCGGCAAAGGTATTCAATATGCTTATCAAATTGTTACAGTTCTCTATAGTTGCTTCAACAAATACAAGAACATCATCAGCGTAAAGAAGATGCGTAAGGGAGTACCCATCCAACGAGATCCCATTGAATCCATCATCATCTAATAAAGAAGAGAATGCATCCATTAGCAGACAAAAGAGGTAAGGGCTTAGACATCCTTGTCTTAAGCCATCAGTGGAAGAAAAATATCCTTCAAGAGCACCATTAATCACAATAGAGTAGTTAACATATGTAATGCATGCTTTAATCCAACTAACGAAAATATTAGGGAAGCCTTTCTGAACCATTTTAGCAATGAGAAATTCCCTGGATACAACATCAAAAGCTTTTCGGATATCTAATTTAGCACAAAAAAAATACTTTGTGCCACTCCTTTTGCGAGCAAGAGCAATAATTTCATTTGCAAGTAAAATGTTGTCCGTAGACACCCTAGACTTAACAAATCCCAATTGATTAATCTTAACAATCAAAGGCATAATAGGCTTTATCCCATTAGCAATAACCTTGACAATGATTTGTAAAGAGTGTTGCACAATGCAATATGTCTAAAATCAGAAAGAGACTTTGCATTTTTGTGTTTAGGGATAAAACTAAAACACTAGCTTTAACATCACTATGGAGATACCCTTTAGAGAAGAAGTATCTCACCGCTTTGCAAACCTTTGGACCAATAATTTGCCATTTAAATTTATAAAAATGGAAGTTGAATCCATCCAGGCCCGGAGTGGAGGAGGATGCCCCAAAAAATACAACCTTCATGATCTCCTCATCAGAGACAAACTTAATTATGTGTGAAGCATAGGAGTCAGAAAATACATCCCCAATGGGAAACAAGTCAACATCCAAGTTAGTAGGGGCTGTACGATTGTAAGAGACTTGGAAATGTTGGATGATATATGTGATAACATCATTCCTATCAGAGTTTGGAGTGGAAGCTACCAAGTTCACAGTTGCTTTGTTACTACCCCGTCTGCTCTTGAATTTGGCAAATAAAAATTTAAGATCTTCCTCTCCCTGTTTGAGCTATTTAACTTTTGCTCTTTGAATTATCCAGGAAGCAAAAATGCTAATAAAATTAGATATATTGCAATTGATTTCCTTCGGAGAGGCATTAATAATGGGGTTAAAAGGATCGTCATGAATATTTTCCATACATTCCATTTGCTGATTATGCAACTCATCAAGATGCCTTTTTAATTTGGAGAAATTGGCCCAATCCTCCTTTCTTATTTTGCTCTTTAGTTGCTTGAAGGTGTGGCATAGATGAGAGATAGGATTGCTAGAAGAAGGAGTAGAGAAAGCCTCTAAAAGCAAATTCCAATAATTGTCTATGTTTGTCAAGTAGTTTTTGAACAGAAATTTGTGGTGCAAGTAGTGGGAAACTCCAGAGTGAAAAATCATTGGACAATGATAAGAGCATGATGGACTTTGAAATGTGCAATATGAGATAGGAAAAACATTCAACCAAGCATTATTTGTAAGCGCACTATCAAGTTTAATGTGAATCATATTGTAAAGACGTTGATTGAACCAAGTGTAGGAGCATCCAACAGATTGAAGATCCATTAAACAATTATCAAATATCATGGAGTTTAAATCCACTAAAAAACTTTGAGTTAGAGTTGAGCCTCCCAAATTTTTAGAGATAAACCTACAACTGTTGAAATCCTCCAAAAGAACCCAAGGGTCATCTTGAGAAGGAGCAATTTGAGAGATATGATTCCATAAATCTTTTCTTTCAGCTCTGTTATTTGAAGCGTAAATCACAATGATATGGAATGGGGGAAAGAGCCAACCTTAACAGTGCCATAAATAATCTGAGGTGTAATGTGGACTGGACTAAAATTAATCTTATTGGGGTTCCATTTAACCCATATGCGTCCTGAAGATGAATGACCAAACTTATTGCAACTGTTTACATTGAGAAAAATAAAGTGAGAACTAAGAAAAAAGGGTTTTGGAGAGAGGAAGAGTGTATAATAATCTCCAAAATACAAAGCATATCTAGCTTAAAAGACTCAGTCAAGCATTTGCAGCACAGAACTTTATCAGGCCGGTTAAACCCCATGATATTCTAGGCCATAATGGATGACAAAAACATAAGAAATAGAGGAGGGAGGGGGCTTTTTGGCATGCTTCTCCATAGCAATTTTTTTTAACATGATAATATTGATGTTCTGTGGAACAATATCCTTTGCCTTATGAGATTTTGCAACCAATTCGTCGCAGATAGTAGAGTCGGGAGGTTTATTAGACTCCGACTGTAATTGAAGTATTTCAAACTTGTTTTGAGAGATAACACCTGGGGGCGAGGCCACATTTTGACTTTGAGAATCTCCAGATGAGGAAGATGAGTCCACAACCGTCGGGGAATTAAGGTTTGAAACAATAGAGTTTCCAGTATCCAGAAAACCAGAGATAGTAAGAGGAGGCTCATTCATAGGTTCAAAAGATGGATTTTTGGTCGGTTGATGAGGTGGAGGGAAATGTGGTTGGTAATGTAGAGGCTTTCCAATAGAGTTTGTGATAACATTGTGTTGCTTAATATTATCAGGAAGGGGAGGATTTGAGGCTGAAGTGGAGGGATTTCTGGATGGTGTAGCGTGAAAGGGACTTTCATTAGTATTATATTTTATATGAACAACATAAGCATGCTGGCATCTTGGGTTTCGACTGAAACTTCTACCTCGGGGAGGGCAGGATATAGGAGCAGTGATGGAAGGGTTTGCAAACTGATATGTTTTTGGTAAAGAGGGACATAAAGCAGAGTAATGAATAAGAGACTTACAATGCTCACATGGAGAAGACCTACATTCCTACTGAACCTTCAACCCGACAACATCTCCGTCCAGGGATACTTTTATTTCTTCTAGATAAGTCGCCTTATTATCCACAAGCACACACACTCGAGCAAAGGTGAGGCGAGTCTTTTGAGCAGCTAGAGAATCAGCGGCCAGGGGCACCCCAACCTTACTCGCCATCCTAGAGATGCCCTCCGAATTCCAACAAGCCAGAGGAAGACCATGAATTTTTATCCAGATTGGAACAGATGTAAAGTTTTCCTTCATATGCTTGAACTTGAGATGCCATTTTTGAAGAACAAATGGCTTTCCAAGCATAAACCAAACGCCTCTTGACCACACCATGTCTAGGTCTTCAGAACATGTAAACCTAAATAGAAAAAATCGTCGCTAAGGGAAAGGAGATTTAGCAAACCTTTTAGTGTCCTTGTTTCCATTATAACACAAAGCAATGCCTCATAATAAGGTCTGCGACCGATGGAATATCCGACCAAACAAAGGTTCTAATCTTCTGCTCCTTTGGATAGTTTGTCACCGAAAAATGGAATGATTTTCGGTTCAGACGGGAAATGAGTGAGATGAAGTTCACTAGAAGCGGATTCTTTTGAACCAAAAATTGATTTCCAGTTGCGCGGAGGGAAGCTCCACCAGTAGAGGAGATGAAAGGGGGAAAATCAGAGGAGAGAAGAGAAGTTTCCATGATTGTAGAGAAAGGGAGTGGGCATCCGGTAGAGCCGGAGGAAGGGAAGAGAGACGACGCAGAACAACAAACTCTAGCAGCACTGCTCTCCGATAACTCGTTCCCCCAAGGATATGAATCAAGTGCGTTATGATCATTGTTCTTCACTTGACATATTCTTATATGTCTTTGCCGGCTAATTTCTTTTTTGATCCTTTTTGACGTATGCAATTTTTTTTGCACCTTATTCTCTTTTTAGCATAAACAACTCCACATTTTTATTTTTTTATTCAATTTGATACATGTACGTAGTCTTTTTCAGTTAATGAAAATTGGGCTTTGCCCTTCATTTAAAAAAAAAAAAAACTTACTTTTTACAGTGTAAATTATATATAAAAAAAGGACGAGCTGTTGGTGCAAATGCATTAGTTTTCTTGTCGCGCCAACCGGCCTCTCTAGCGATCGACTCCAACTTTGCTACCGCCGGAACCCGTCTCGCTGAAAGCCCTAACTAATTTTCCTGTTTTTGCCATTTTCATTTTCCAATGAACTTTGAAATTCCATCCTGAAGCAGTTATTCTACCCGAAAATTAGGGCTAGAACACTTCTCTTAGTCCAATCACACATAGAAGCCAATCTGGTATTTTCTACCGATGGCAATCATCGGCGATGCTCTTCGTCAAGCGTTCATGGCGAAGCACGAGTATGAGAATCTCCGGGAGGAGGAAAAGGCATGGGGCCGTCTGCAGCGACCGTTAGTGTCAGCCCTAGCGGTTGCCATAGGCGTCGCCGTCGTCGTAGCTGCTGCCGTCAGCTTGAGTATCGTCTTTCCTGGTGACCTTGGCCGCCGGCCGTTTTGTCGCGACCGTAGGATCCAGGCACTGCGGATGAGCGAGGAGGAAGTCTCTGATCTTTATCCTTCCCACGGCGCCTTCTTTCTCACAGATGAGGAGGCAGCCGAGTTCTATTGGATGGTAGTCTTCATTCCCTCAGGACTCGTTTTCTTGGCCTCCGTCATCTACCTGCTGGCCGGTGAGTTTTCGTTTCCTTTTTTTTAATCTGTGCAGATTTCTCAAAATCAAAGGACAAATCAAAAGATTTAAGCACCATAAGCTTTTTCTATGATTAGTACACTAAAAGTGGATGATTATTTTCCTTCTAACATAAAGTTTGAAAATTTTAGGATTGTCATTCCTTGAATTAATCTTAAGGAATTTTCCAAAATATGAAATTTACCAACCAAAGGATCCAAAACAAGAAAAGAATATGGACCAATTTCCAGAAATATTAAATTTAAATCTCCTTTTAAACGTTATTATCATATCTCACATGATCAGCCTCTCTAATTCAAAAATAGGTTTTTACATTCAAGACGTTCCCTCTAAACACACATGATCGGCCCCTCAAACTCTAAAAAAAATGAACAAAACAATTTACAATCAGCTCTTATACATTTGGGCCTTAGAAGTTGCTCTGGTGATCGGCTTTCTTTCTTGTCCTGCATCATGCATAAGCTACTAAATGGCATAGGGAAACATTCCTTGGCATATTGTCAATGTAAGTGCAACTAATTCTTCAAAAAAAAAAAAAAAAAAAGGGGCAACTAAAAAAAAAAAAAAAAAAAAAGGTGCAACTAATGAAACTATTGGAGACCAATCTAGGCTACTTGGATGTTGGAAGAGGCCTTTTGGTGTTCCAAATTTCTAAATTCAAATGTAACGTGACTGCCAACTAGAGTGGTGAATGTGAAAGCATTAAAATGGGACCAAATATTGAGGCCATCCTAGGGTGAAAACCTTTTTTGATGTAATTTATGTATGTATGCATCCATTCAGATGCAAATGTATGTATATTTATGAAAATACATCCATACATAAATGCATATACATACATAAATAAAAAAATAAATAAATAAATATATATACGTGTATGTGCTTGTGATGGGGACATCAGAGCTCGGAGGATTTATCACCGTAGAGGCCAGAGATCTACGACCTTGATTGAGTATTTATATTTTTAGTTTTCATATGTTATAGGAGATTTATGTGGTGTTATTTATTTTATTACAGTTTTACCCTCTCTTGAGGGAGCTTTTGTGTTGTTTGGCCAAGGGCCTTCTTGTTTTTTATTCCTTTCATGTTTTGGTGCCTATATATATGGCCCATTATTCTCTTGTAAGGATGATGAATATTTTGACATAAAATTTCTGATTTTTATGCTTCTCTTCTCTTGGTTAGTTGAGTTTGTATGTGAAGTCCTTTGAAGAAAGGCAAAGAAATACCCAACAGCGTGTGAGCTCTTGTTTTGTATAATCTTCCCTTTCTCTCTTATTTTATTCTTCTTTAGCCACCTAAACAGTCCCCCTTTGTTGCAGCAAACTGTTGTCCTCAAGCAGCCGCCACCCCCTTCCCTTCATCTCTAACCATCTCCACCTTCTCCCCAACACCCTTGACCCTTGAGCTTCAATTCTGTATTTAATTCACATTAATTGAGCATTTATCTCAATTAATTGTGATCTTTGGAGATCCACATCCACTTTAATTTTCTCCCTTTCCCATGCTGACTTTTCTCTTTCTCAAGGCAACTACTCCCCTTCCCAAGCAAGCCACATCAACTCTTTCCCTTTCCCAAGCTAACTTTTTCCTTCCCAAGTCAACTACTTCCCTTCCCAAGCAAGACACAACAACCCTCTCCCTTTCCCAAGCTAACTTTTCCCTATCCCAAGCCAGCCACATCAGCCCTCTCTCTTTCCCAAGCCAGCCACATCTTCCCTCTCTCTTTCCCAAGCAACCAATCCCATCTCTTCACCTTCCAAGTTGACTTCTTCACTTCCATATCCTCATATAGCTGAAACTTTCTTTTTCCCTCACTATTCTACCTTTTCAAGGAAACCTAGCTTCTTCTAAAGCAACAAGGATATCGAATCAACAATGAGTCATCAAGGACTCTATTCCTCCCATTTATGAGCTAAGTATCAAACCCTCCACTTGTTCCTCGTCTAACTAAATATTAATTTTTTCATTTCATCTATAGTAGCATCATCTCATATGTGTTGATTAATCCGCCAAACTCTACTTAAGTTTGAGCGATCAGAAACTCTAGTGACTAGTCCTTTAATTTAATGTTCGACTTGTTCCAACCCATGTTAGCTAGTCTAAATTGATTCTCCTATTTTTAATGTTTAACATTTACTTGTTAGTTTCTTGCTATCCCATGATATATTCTTATTGTTCTTAATATTTTATCAAGTTTATTTTTGCTGTCTTTGATATTATCTTAGCATAAATCTCTAGTTGCATGACATATTTCATTTAGTTCTTGCATCACCTCATCACTCTAACTACAGTCTGGATCTCTTATTTCAGTCTCTTCATGAAGTTCTCCTCTAACACAGTCTCAGAAAGGTGGTCCAATCGGCTAGCAAGGTACTGAAACCTCTCCCAGTACTCTATCACTGAATCATATTGTGTCAAGGAGAAAAACTGCTCGTAGAAGTCTCCTCCCTGCCTGTTCGAAATCGTTATAACAGGCAATCCTTGAACTCCCTCCAACTCTGTATGGGTCGTCATATGTCCCTCCACTGGTACAAGCCAAAGCCTTACCTTCCAAACATAGGCCAGCTATCATCAGTCTCTCCTCCTCTGTCAACCTGTTGATATGTGTGCTTTCTCTCCCTAAAAAATAGGCATCTTCAATTTCCTCACTCAAATCTCCTCCGTCAACCCTGCTTCCACTAAAATTTCCCATTCCCCGAGGGAGTGGTTCCCCCCAATTGTGCCAATCATCTCTCATCCGCTCGCATCCGAAACTTTCATCACAAGCCCACCTTCTCCCTTTAAATTCAACAACTCTTCGATTATATTCAACCACTCACCTTTCAAATTCGACCACTCTTCGATCATAATCAAGTAATCTCATTTCAAATTCAACCCCTCTTCTTTCTAATTCAACATCCCTCCACTTATGCCCTACCCCCTCACGCCTCTCCACATACCCTTTACCTGACTCCTTCTTAGGAAGCCCTAGGGGAGGCATTTTTTTTGTTCCATCCAAAATCTTTACATCTTGATCTTCCCTTCGTCTGATCGACTTAAGGTTTTCCCCATTTCCTTGGCTATCGGCGCTTCTCTTACCTTCGATGACGATATTTTAGTTTGGCCCTCCAGCACTTTCTTCAACATTTCCTCCAAGATGAATAATTTTCGGATCAAACTTATCATGGATGGTTGAAATATCTTTTTTTAAATATGAAACTTGAGTTTGGAGATCTGAAATTTCAGATTTCATTTATCCGATCTCCCCTTCCAATACATCTACTTTTCTTCCATCCATGAGAACCTGGATTTAGGCTTCAATAGAAAAGAGCAACAAGTTTGGCGCGAATATGGCCTCCAAATAGCAAAAAGCAGCAAGACCATAGGGGAAAACACAATAGAAATCAGCGAAGAAGATTTCTATTTCAGCCCAGGAAATTGCTATGGTACCAATTTGTTAGGAAATATTTGGAATTTCCAAGTAAAACCTAACAATCTTGATGAAATCAGCGAGAAATATCCACAAATACAAAGGAAAAACTACAAAAACAGTAATTTTATTGCGATAATCAAACTAACGGAAGAAAAATAACAAGATACAATTGATCATCTATTGGAGAGGAGGATCTGTCTCTCCCAAATCTCTAGACGCCGTTAGAGCCCAAAAACCTAAACCCAAGAGATCTCAAATTTCAGCAAAATTCAAGATCCCCAAACCCTAGAAAAACAAACTATTTAATGCATACAATAAAAAAGGAAATCTCTAAAAAATCTCTGCATTCAAATTTCCTGCATAACTCCCCCAAAAATCCTTCCCAAAAAGCTCTGTTGGCTCTTGCGGTCCGATATCCTCTTATAGGAGGTGGAAAACTTCTACTTGTTACGTCGAGCCGGTCCTGTATGGACCGGCTGGACCGGTCCAATTGACCAAATCTAACACAATGCTTTCTTCCCTTGAGAGTTTCTAAAAATAGCTTATTGTAAAAGGAAATTCGGTATTGTGGTTATTAACAAAATTTAGAGAAAACTTGCATTCTGGAAAGACCTTTTTTTGTACAGGTGGGAAGATAATTTTGATAAATTCAAGTATATTTTGAATTCCTCTTTATTTTCTTACTTTCTTTTGGTTGTTTAGTTGGTCATCAATAAACTTCATAGCATTAAAGATGATTTTTTTTGGAATGGTGATGGAGAAGATAGAGGCTTCTTGATCATCTAGAAAAATATTTGCAGACCAAAAAAATTTATAACATATGTAGGGTTTGGCAGTAAAGATCTTTGAACACAGGGACATTTCTTTTTTCTAATTAAATTTAAAAGTATATCAATGCGTAATCAAAATCTTTAGCTAATATTATTATAGACAAGAGTTATTTAAGTAAGAATACTCCACCTTACTTTTTGACGGGCAAAGGTGGTCATGAATCTCAATTTATTAATGGAGTTAGAATAGTTGCTTTACCGTTTTTCCATGCGACCTCTTGGATCATTCCTAATATTGGTTAAAGTTATTTTTTGAAAGATATTTGAATTTGTGATTTATTTTTAGCCAATCTCTATCATCTCGTCTCAATATTACTCATACGTAGTTGACATCGTCATTGGAAAGAAGTGATTAACTTCTTTTCTTGTGTCCATTAAAATTTCTGTTCTTTAACACTGCCGTTGCCAGGTCCCAAGTCCTGGATGAGAAAAGTGGAGGGTTGCGTTAGGTAGTCGACAGCCAGCGTAAAACTTGTCTAACAAAAATGACATGAATCCTTTAAGAAATTGTGTTAATGCTAGGGCGTCCCCTGGAAGCGACGCGCTGTATGGCCTGAATACAGTGACAAGTGTGCAAGGGCCGCTGCACCGGCGCCCGGGTGCAGTGTTAAATAGGCAAGGGTTCCCGCATCAAGGACGGATGTGGGCAAAGAAGCTAGTCCATGATACTAAAATTAGGATAGGAACTTGGAATATAGGTTCCCTTACAGGTAAATTAATGGAGTTAATAGATAT